AAAACTCGAAATCTTCGAAATCAGAAATAGGATTCAGAGTCCTTACTTCGAGACAAACAAATCTTCAAACTGCGGCGTCGGACGAAAAGAGCTCCGCGGCCTCCGAAATCAAGCTTTCCTCTTCTCTTCCTTCTCTTTCTCTCTCCAGCTTTTTTCTCTCTCTTCAAAAATATCTCAAAATATCTTAATTCCAATACTTATCAAACAGGATCTTCCCGGACGATTCCTATTTGTCCCGGGATGATTTTCCCTCTAGACAAATCTCGTCCAGACGAAGTGTATTCGTTCTTGGACGATTTGCTCTATGGACAAATTTCATCCTGACGGTTCGTTCCAACTCGTACAGGTTCGTCCAGACGAATCAGGCAGATTCTTCACAATTTTCTTCAGTTTGTCCCGTACTAAGGCCAGTTCGTTCGGACTAACAGCACTTACAAAAATGAACTTTTGAGGGGTTTTACACGGGCGGCGTACTGGCCGTTCAACCGCCGGTATAAACATCGTCGTTATTACAGAATAGACCGCCGCTAAGCTACCGGTAGAATCAACGGCGGTTAACACCGACGGAATAGCCGGCGGTGAGACCGCCGGCGTGTCGCCGGTGTTCCACCGGACACCGTCGGCAAACAGCCGATGTTGACCAGCGTTTTTAGAAGTTTTTTGGCAGTTTTAATTAGCCGTTTGGTATCGAAATTTCCGGCGGCCAAACCGTAACAGCAACAAAATGCATTAAAAAAAACGCAAACCTAGGAGGTGAAGCGACGGGAGCGGGGAGAGCCTTCGACGACTGGAGTGGAGGGGAGTTCTTTGTTTAGAGGAACTTTTCGGCGGCCGGAGGGAGCTCGTCGATGGCTGGAGGTGGCGTCTCAATGCGAGAGGGCGGAGGAGACGGGGGCGAGCACCGCACATGAGAGAGAGAGAGAGAGAGAGAGAGAGAGAGAGAGAGAGAGAGGCAATGAAATGAAATGGAAGGCTCATGACGGATTATTCTAGGGCATTTTCCGGCGGCTATCCGCCGGTTCAGACAACTGGAAATAAATTCACTTAACACCGGCAGTTCTAGCCGCCAGAAACGCGCCGGTAAGTTTTAATTTAGGCCGTTTAACCTACGATTTCTAAACCGTCATTTTTTTCTGGTGGCTGTATTTTATATAATAGCCGGTAAAAATCGGTGGTCAAATCGCCGGTTAAACCGTCATTAATACCGGCGGTTGGAGAATCGCCGGTCCAGATCGCCGGTAATTGATGAATTTTTTGTAGTGCTTTGAGAGTAATATAACATTATCTAAAACATAACTCATAAGAATCCTTAAAGTCTGTTGGATAGATGATATGTGGCAAGCACATTCACCTACATTGTCATGCACCCAATCCAATTGCTCTAAATTTTTTTTAGGATATTCATGCTTTTGTCTATAAAATTATTATTATTCAAACAGAAGGAAATTAAGAGAGAAAGTTCAATAAGCTCCTATGATTATGCATTGCACTCAACTTTCTTACTCTAAATTAGTGTATCAATACCTCAAGACTTTTTGGGACTAAGAATGAATAGTGTTAGCATTACTCTTTTTGATAAAAAAAAAAAAAAACAAACTCAATAATGTCTTGCCATCATTCATGAAATGCTTTAAATAAACTTTAAGCTTATGTAGTCATGAGATAAAAGCTGATTCCTACCAAATGGTCCACCCTCAATCACAATCCTGCCTCCTTGGAATCCCAAACTCTTATTACATCAAACAACTAAGCCATGTGATGAAACCCACAGGAAAAGTTTTTCTTTTTTTCCTTGGGATATTTATGTCAATTAAGACAGACTCATACACAGAGCATATATGCAAGACTCGAATCAAAACCTCTTAGTTGGTGGCCAAATTAAGATCCCAACCAACTGATCAAAACGACCTACAGACTTAACTCATAGGAAAAGTGAAAGAAAACCTTAAATTCATGATGCATGGTCCCCCTCGTTTTCCTTTTTCTTTTGGCATTTCAATCCCCGTTTAATTTTTATAGAGATAGGTTAAGCAAATAGGGGAGCAATTAATAAATCTGAGTAGATGAGAAGAAGGTAATTAGAATAGTTTTAGGACCTAGCAAGAGAGATATCAAATATTAAATATAAAAAAAAATAAAATAAAAGAGCAATCACTATTATTGATATCAAATTATCAAGTTGTAAGTCTTTTTCTCAATATGATAGAGAAGACAAATAAAAATTTGTTGCTTATAATAAAAAATAAATCTTTTTTAAAACAAAAATGAATGCTAATCTGTCAAATTTAACATATCCTTTAATAATTCATTCTTATTAATATACCAACATTAATGCTATTTATGTAATTTTTTGAATTTGATAGAATGCAAGCTTCTAATATTGCTGTCCTCAAGCTCTTTCTCCTCATCTACTTCAATTATTTTGCTCCACATTAGCTGCTGTGAACAGGTCCTCTTCTGCTTCTTCTTTCTTCCAATTTCCTAAATATATAAAGATAGATTCCTGTAAATATTTGTTCAGCTCTTTATAAAGCTAGCCAAGCAGACTGAAGCAGTGCTGAAATGCTAAAAGAAAAAAGAAAATAAGGGGACTAAGAATTTAAGGTTTTGTCTCTCTGTCTCTCTTTTCCTCCTTGGATTTCATTTCATCACATGGCTTAGGTGTTTGATGTTAATAAGAATTGGAGGGTGGACCATTTGGTAGGAATAAGCTTTTATCGCATGATTAGATGAGGTTAAAGCTTATGTAAAGCATTTCATAAATATTGGGCAAGATAATAGTGAGTTTGCTTTTTTTTTTTTTAATAATATTTTATAAAATAGTAATACAAACTATCCATTATTAGGAGGGGTGTAAATTTCGAGTCACGGGTCGGGCTCGGGTCGAACTCGGAACTGAGCCGACACTATTCGGGTCAACCCGAACCCGATATGTTTTAGCAAACGGGTCGGTTTTTCGAATCCGAACCCGACTCGCTTCTGGTCTGGGTCAATCTGACACGATTCAAATGACCCAGAGCCGACAAAAAATTGCTAGTTTTCCGGTAAAAAAACGGGTCAATCATTGATTTTTGGGTAAAAAACGGGTCAATTTTAGTCAATATCGGGTTTTGTGCCAAAATGGGTTTTTTAGTCAAAACGGGTCAATTTTTGGTTTCTGGGTCAATCTAAACTCGACCCGGCTTTTGAAACGGATCGATTTGTTGAACCCGAACCCGACCCATTTCAGGTTCAGGTTGACCCTAACCCATAATCTTTGGGTCAGATTCTTGTTGGGGGTTTTTAAATCGCATCAAATATTGACACTCCTAATTATTAGTCCTAAAGAGTATTGATCATGTATTGATACAATGTCTTCGTTTGGGATAGTTTTAAACTGTTGCTTTTTTCCTACTTTTAAGAATTTTTTGTACTAAAAACAGCTTTACAAAGCACTAAAAAAACAGACCCAAACTAAGCCTAAATTTGCTTGAAAAAATTCAGTTCAATAGATCATATTAGATTGTTAAACTTCCTCTCTCTCTCTCTTCTTCTCTTTGAAGAGTAGTATTTTTCGTAGAATTGCATCAAAATATCAATCAAAAGGATGATAAGCACTTTTGATAACTTGAGGACCATGCATTGCATGTGACTCTCTCTCTCTCTCTCTCTCTCTTCCCTTCTCTTTGAAGAGTAGTATTGTTCATAGAATTGCATCAAAATATCAATCAAAAGGATGATAAGCACTTTTGATAACTTGAGGACCATGCATTGCATGTGACATTCTCTCTCTCTCTCTCTCTCTCTCTCTCTCTCTCTCTCTCTCTCTCTCTCTCCATAGTTGGTGGTTCCACAGGCAGACTACAGCATGGTCCAATCTTCTGTTGATTCTATAGAACAGAAATCAGGGTCCAGCTAGCTCAAATAGATTGCACTGTGAAAGAAGCACTGAGAAGGAAACTGGCCATGCAAGTAGGTGAAAAGATGTATTGGAAAGAGTATGATCACAATCGTCCTCTTTTATCATATTTCCCATCATCAAATAATTCATTAACTATTGTTTTACAATCATCTTTAAATATATCATCACCAAATTTTTATCAGAATATTTTCTTAGATTTGAGTGATTCTCATACAATGAGGATGAGGAAGAGAGTGGGCATATTACCTCTCATCCGTTCGATCTCATCAAGATTCACATTAATGTTTTACCAATCAAATACACTCTCCCATCATGCTTTTATCAGGTAGCTTTGGCTTCCACCTGAACATTCTTCTCCAACAAGGCTATGTTAGTCAAGAGCTTATGTTTGGTTGGAAGTAAAAGGGAGTACAAAGTATTACAAATGGGAAGGTTTTGAAAATATTTGTGTTTGATTGGATGAAAAAGGAATGCAAAATAAATAGTGTAAATTATTTTATTTCATTTTTAAGGGAATTAAACTTTTCCAGTTTTGAGCATGAACCATTTATAGCGCCAGTAAGCTCGCTTGAACACTGCAACCATCCATTGATGGCCCCCACCACTCATCGTCGCCCACCGCCGCCACTGCTGACCACTAAAGCCACCGGCCGCCATAACTCATCGCATGCGTTACTAGTCTCTAGCCATCACCCATCACTGACACTATCCATCCGCCATCAGCCGCCGCCGGCCACCACAGCCACCGCCACCACCTCTTACCGGGGGTCTACGCCACCTGTTGTCGGCCATGTCCCATCTCCCGTCACCGCCACCAGCCACCACTAGCACCGCCACCCATTACCATCATATTTAGACTTTTCATTATATTGATTTTATTTTAAATTTAATATAAAAAAATATTCACCTATATTTAATTTACCCTTTTTCAAATAAGTCTAAAATATTTAATTTACCCTGCATCTTTTTAGCCAAAAAAATCGCCCTTATTCGCTTGGTTAAGTGGCCTGTTAACCTTAAACAGCCCACATTGAGCCCGACAATGCCGCATATAAAGCCCAACAGCACGAGCTAAAAGACAAGATGGGCCGATTTACATTATCATCAAACCAATTCCATCGACACTTTTAATGGCCACGCGTCATCTCCTTCCCCTTCCGCCCTTTTTCAGAAGCCTCGCTCGCAATCGCCCGCTCACTCGACTCTTCTTCTCCAATTCAACAATGGCATCTCCTCCATCGAAGAAGGTAAACACCTCTTAACAAATTCCCCTCTTCCCCTTCTCGATTCGAAAGCGATGTTACCGATGCACCTTCTCAGGTGCTAGTTCCGATCGCCAATGGCACGGAGCCACTGGAAGCTGTGGTCACCATCGATGTTCTTCGTAGAGCCGGGGCTGAAGTTACTGTCGCTTCGGTAGAGAAGAATCTAAGAGTGGATGCTTCCTTGGGGATCAAGCTTGTCGCCGATGCTCTCGTTGTTGACTGTGAGGACTCCTCGTTTGACCTCATTTCCCTTCCGGTGGGTGTTTGCTGAAGCTTCTTTTGTGGTTTTTGTGGTAAAAGTTGATTATTTTCATGGGATTTTGTTTGATTTGTTTTGAGCTGATGCAGGGAGGGATGCCCGGTGCGGAGAGGCTTAGGGATTGTGGTGTGCTGGAAAGCATTGTGAAGCGGCATGCTGAGAAGGGGGGTTTGTATGCGGCGATATGTGCTGCGCCGGCTGTTGCGCTTGGATCCTGGGGTTTGCTCAAGGGATTAAAGGTAAGTTTTTATTTTTTTCGGAATAAAACTTGATACTGAGTGCATACTGTTGATGTGAATTTTTTGCTTGATTGTGATTCAGTATTAATATGACTATCAGGATTCTTTAGTTATTAACTTATCAGCAGAGACATAGATCTCCATATTATTCTCTTTCTTAATAATGCATTTTAGAGATTGTATGGTTCATATTTTTAGAGAATTCATTGTTATCAGTATTACTTTGTGTTTAATTTAGCATTTTCATACTAAAACACAATTACTTGATTCCTTAGATGTCAATAAAATATTATATGATTTGTCATTTTTAGAATGCTATTTGAAGATATCATTGAATCACATATTTGAACTCTTTAAATAACATGATATGGCCTTACTGATGTCACTAAACCAAACAGCCCTTTGGGATGGTATTATTAAAAAGTTTTTTATGTTGCATTGGAGTTTAAACTTAATTTTTGAATGAAAAATTGAATATTTCTGCTATTCTATCTGTCTCGAATTTCAATGCTTGGTCTTCTTTACTATGATCTGTGTTACTTCAAATTATTTTTGGAGTTTTGAAGGGTTGATTTAAGTGTGTTCGCAGGCGACTTGTTATCCCTCAGTAATGGATAAAATGCCTTCTGATGTAACTAAAGTTGAATCGAGGGTGGTAGTGGATGGACGGGCTGTTACCAGTCGAGGGCCAGGGACGGCAATAGAGTTTGCTCTGAGTTTGGTAGAGCAGTTATATGGGAAAGATAAAGCTGATGAGGTCGCTGGACCGATGGTAAGATAAGTTGTGTGTTTTTAATGGAAGATTTTCTTATGTTCAGACAATTGTCTAAGTTTAAACTTTTATGCTGCTCACCGTGTAATATTTCAAGTGCATTATGCAGACTAGATAATTTCTTACTTAGAAATATGATTTACACATGCACATTTTGAATTAAATGCTTGTTCAAAGTGGAAGTAGAGAAGATGGGGAGCACGTCATTAAGCTGTTGTTTCTAACACATTAATGCAGTATTTCTGGTAATGCTCTGTTTGTTGGTTTTAAATATTTTATTAGCTCAAGTTTTTTTCTTGAAGGTGTTAAAAATTGTTAAGGGATATGATAGTATTGGGCTTAGTTCCATATAAAATAGGTGAAAAACATGTCAGCATAGGAATATGAAGTAATTGGCCTTCACCTATAGACTTGTGCCCTTGGGTTTAAAATAAGCTTGGCTTATGTTATGCCCAAAATTTGATTCACCTTTGGCCTACACTTCAAAGTCAATCGTTTAGTTGTAATCAAATATTTCATTTGTTTGTAGTGCTCCCCTGAGTCTTTGTTGCTTCTATCATGGTTGAGCAAAGTTTAAGAACAAGTGATTCGTATTGTGGTGCCATGTAGTTGCTTGTATTCTTATTGCATGTTGTTTGATTATGTTGAAGATTTTTTTAGCTGAAAGTTAGTGAAGACTATTGTGGAGAGGATTTTTCGAAGACGGAAGTGTATTGGGTTTCTTAGTCCTTATCAAATTGGTTAAAAACATAGTGTAGCAATGTTAAGTGATTGACTCTCATCAATTGACATAAGCTTTTGAATTGAAAATGGAGAAAATCTTTTTATGCTTTTTAAACCTAAGTTGGTTTAGAAAATGACCATTTTCCTGAAATTCATGGAGGGTTGAATTCATGCCTTGGCCTATATTTCTAAGGAATATTCGGTTTTTCATGTATTTGCTAGAATTACACATGGCATTAGAGTTTGGTATGCTTTTATTTTCTTGGTTGTGGATGTTCTGCGGTGAAAGTTACGAAAAAGAAAGTGATAACTCTTTGATCAATTATATACAAAGTAATAAAAAACTTACAATTTATAAAGCCTGAAGAAAAAGCTATCAAATTTTTTTGTCCGAATAACCCTTGCAATTTTTTGGCTACTTCTATTATCACAAATAGAATAAAAAGTAGAACCAAACTAAACCTTAATAATAAGTTTATCAATTAGTCATTTACTTATTCAAGCCTTAATAGCAATTTTATCAAACACTGATCATTCATCAATTATAGATTGGCCCTAGGAAAAAGAAATTCAAGGAATACCATACAAGCTTGGAACATCACGTGGGGCCGGCTACATGAATCCTTTTTCTCCATTGTGTCCTATTAAAAGTCAAATTCTCTTTTAAATCTAATAAAGAAAGGTCATTCCTAATATTTTCTAACCAAGTCTTTTTAGGTCTACCCCTACCTTTCTTAACATAAGTCAAATCTAATACCTCTACTCTCCAAACCGGTTCATCGCAAGGCCGCCGTTTTATGTGAACAAACCATCTAAGGCGACTCTCTCTAATCTTATCTTCTACTGGAGCTACTCCAACCTTTTCACGTATATGCTCATTTCGTATCCTATCTCTAAGGGTAAAGCCACTCATCCACCTGAGCATCCTCATCTCTGCCACACTTAACTTAGTATTACCTTGTCTTTTATTGGCCAACATTCAGCACCATAAAGCATTGCAAGTCTCACCACCATCTTATAGAATTTTCCCTTAAGTTTGAGGGGTACATTTCTATACATTTCTATCTTCTCTTTCAACTTATTCTTCAATAGAGGAATATATTCTTGCAATCTTTTTTTATTTGCTCAAGTACCTTAGTTTGTGTCGGCTTAGAAATTCATGCTGTAGCGAATTGCTTGTCTTTGTTTTTCCCATGGAGGTAGTTCTTGATTTTCTGATTGGTTATGTTTTGGCTCATTTTCTTGATTATGGATTTGAATGGCCTTTGACATCTGTAATTTTCTCTTTTCCGTAGTAACTTCTGACAGTAATAGCTCATCAAAATAAAGAAGTTACTGTTATAATTTTGAACTATATATCCTTATGATCTCCATCCTCAGATCCTTCCCCTTCCGTAAAGTCACCATGTTCAGATGAAGTTGCAGCTCTTATTGATATATGTCCCATCTCGCATACAAAACTACTCTAGTTTGTACTTCAGATAGGTTTAGGAATGTTGACGTTGTGAGATTATCATCTGGTTTAGACCTGGATTGTCTGACCGGTCTAATTTTCTAACCCATCTAGATATCGTTCATGTTCAGTCTATGTTGACATCCCCTTTATTCTTAAAAATAGGAATTAACACACTCATTCTCCACTCATCTGGCATCTTTTTAGTCTTCAAAATAGTATTAAAAAGTTTAGTAAGCCATGAAATTCCTTCATCTCCTAAGCATTTCCACACCTCTATTGGAATATCATCAGGTCCAACAGCTTTTCAACCCTTTATTTTCTTTAAAGCCTCTCTAACTTCTATTTTACTAATACGCAAATAAAAGCAAAAATTTTTATTTTCATTTAGGGTGCTAAGGTCTCTATAGTCAATCTTATTTTCACAGTCTTCATTAAAAAATTTAGCAAAAAATCAATCAATTAATATCAGTAATAAAAAGAGCAATCTAAATAACAAATGTGCAATTACGCTAAACAATTGTTCATAGAATAGCATAGAAGCAAAACACAAAACACTCTAAATGAGAATAAGAACAGTGCATAAAACTTAAAGAAGAACAAGGGCGCAGAGAACGTCTAAGCCCCAAATGCCTTTTCAAAATTGTTGTATTGCTGAAAAAGAAAGAATAGGAAACTTGCAAGAGAAGAAGTGGTGGAGAAGGAAGATGAAGCAGTTATAGCAATTAAAAAGAAAGAGGAAAAGGTGGAAGAGGCATTTACAACAATTATACAATAATAAAAAGAAAGAAGAAGAGATAGAGGAAGAAACTTGCAAGAGAAGAGAAAGAAGCACAGGTGTAGGGGGTAGATGAAGAAGAGGATTTACCTTGGCTTGGAGGAGAAAGAGCAACCAAACGAGCTCGAGGCGAACAAGGTGGAAATGAGGTTTGGCAGTTGAGCTCAAATTTATTAAAAAATAATAATAAACTGAAGGCACAACTGGGAAATCGCAGAAGGCATTATATGGCAATTTTTCTAATTTGGAGGGGTGGGGGGATCCGCCATTATCTGTCTCATGCTATTGCTCATTCATTTTGAATGTGCTCGGTTTTCTATAACCGCCTTGTATTGTAGCTTATTTACAGAGCAAACAATTCCTTTACTTTGTTATTCTCCATTATCTGTCTCATGCTATTGCTCATTCATTTTGAATGTGCTTGGTTTTCTATTACCGCCTTGTATTATAGGCTTATTTACAGAGCAAACAATTCCTTTACATTGTTATTTATAGATGTGTCGCAGTATGAGCTAGATCTTTTTCACTGTACTTATCTGGTCTATTCTTTTAATAATTGATCATTTGAACACTCTTCTATTTTTTTATCAACCATTTCAAGTTCTTAATCACAGGTAATGCGCCCTCATCATATTGAGGAGTACACAGTGACTGAACTAAACTCGGTGGGATGGAAATATGATAGTACACCACAGGTAACAATGGGATTGATATGTTAGGCTTTGTTTTTACCTTTTATAGCTGTAAGTATGGAATCATTAATTCCATGCCTACATGTTATACAGTGTAGTGATAATATTCAATAAATGCATTTCAAAAGTTTCCATTGTAACCTTGCTGAACACTATGCCATAATGCTCTTGTGATGGTTGTTGCTTTGATTAGCTTCGGTAGAATCCTCCCCTCTTCTTAATTTCTGGTTGTATTATAGTGATGACTTGTTTAGGATGTATTTCGGACGACGGTAGCTGATATGATGCGGGATAAACATATTTTTTAAAAGTTATTTTGGCCATCATAATTGTTTTCTTCTAAACAAGTTAGATGATGACTTTCTTTGTCTTCTTGTAAAAAGTTATTTCCAACCACATAATTTTTCAAAAAGCTGCAAGAAAGCTATGGCTTAAATGAAGTTAGGCAACTATGTGAAAAATAAAATTTTGAAAAAGCTACTCTAAATGAATGCTTGTTTTGAACTCTGGCCCCTTGTAGTAGAATGCTACGTTACCCTTGGCAATATAATAGATGCTTCAACCTTTTTTCCCGGGCGGAAGAAGAGAACCTTAATCTTCTGGAGTCGATCTCGAAACGTTTATTTGTCTTCTACTAATGTGTTGATTGAATAGTAAGACAACCGTCTGCAAAAGAAGCAGATAACATAAACTTATATTAAAATTGTTGTACTTTCTATGGTTTTTTTAATAACCTTTATGGAATCTCTGGTCTATTTTATAAGGTTCTCACTCCAGAATCTCTTTTAAAAGTTTCCTAGTTCTATATCTTACTCTATCCCCCCACACTGTGGCACAAACTCTCTCAGATTCTGGTTCCAATTGCCAATGGCTCTGAGGAGATGGAGGCTGTAATCATCATCGACATGCTCCGTAGAGCAAATGCTAACGTCGTGGTGGCCTCTGTCGAAGAAAAACTACAGATCATTGCTTCCAGGAAAGTGAAAATTGTAGCTGATGTTCTTTTGGACGATGCTGCTCAAATGCAGTACGACCTTATCATCCTACCGGTTAGTTTTCTCGCTCTCAAAAGTAATCATTATGACGTTTTCTACGAACTTGTCATCGAAATCATCCACTCCAGTCTTCAGCTACCTATTGATCTAATTTTTTTACAGGGAGGGCTTCCTGGTGCACAAGCATTCTCTAATTCAGAAAAGCTTGTAAATTTAATAAAGAAGCAGGCTGAATCCAATAAACCCTATGGAGCAATATGTGCTTCTCCAGCAATCGTTCTTGAGCACCATGGCTTGCTGAAGGTAAAAATAAATAAATAAATATGTGCTTAAAGTTCTGAAATCCCATTGTTTTTTAAAATTAAGCTTTCAAACTGAGGCAGGGCAAGAAGGCAACAGCATTTCCAGCCTTATGCAACAAACTTGCAGATCCAAGCGAGTCTGAGAACCGTGTGTTGGTTGATGGAAATCTGATTACAAGCCGAGGTCCAGGTACATCAATGGAGTTTGCGTTGGGCATAGTGGAGAAACTATACGGCCGTGAAAAAGCTAAAGAGCTTGCAAAAGCAAATGTTTTTGCCTGAAGGTTAGGTCTATTTTGTTTCTGATAGTTTAACCAGTATGTTCTTCATATGAGTGGATGGATAGTTAGATGTGGCGTTTAATAAATACAAAGCCTATTTCCTTGGCTTTGTAACGAGTTTCTGCTTTTCTATTACCAAATGCGAAGTTGTTTTATGGGGATTTCTTGATATGAGAAATCCTTTGGATTGGAAGCCCTGATGCCTTCCACAGAATGATGATCCATATGGAATACTGTTAGGAAATACTTGAAGATTTCAAGCAAATCCTAAGGGGAGAGGTGAAAACAGCAAATCTCTTCACGAATTTAATGGGAAAAGCATTAAAACGATAATGTTTATTGAAGAAATCAAAGCTAACGGAAGAAACAAAGTAAGATATAATTGATCCTTAATTCAAGAGGAGGATCGCTCTCTCCCAATCACTAGAATCTAGGGCCTAAGACACCAAGAACAAGAACTCCAAAATAAACCACAACATAATTCATAACCCTAACCTTAATTCCTCCCATACTTAAAGCATACAATTAATCATTAAAGCCAAAAGACAGTTTAGCCCTTGCTACCCCCTCCTTTGGCTCCAAACATTTGAATTTGAATTCCTAGTAGACCCCACCTCCTCACTCTCTTGTTGCCGCCCCTTCTTTTGTAAACCTGAACCGGACCATTAAAAGGGGCTAATTGGACCGGTCCAATAGGGACCAGTCTAACAAATACATTTTGATTTGGGCTGGTAAGTAGTGTCTTCTATCTCTCTTATAAATGCCTCTAGTTTTCATCTAGCAAAAGATGTCTTCCAGTTTGCTTTGCTTATATTTAAGCGCCGGTTGTGAGCTTTTTGTTGCTTAGATTGTTGTCATTATTTTGTTTGATTATAAAATTTTTAAATATTTTCATGAAATTTTTGTGATGTGTGGCTTTATGAAAATCAGATCTATTACTGTGGTAATTATAAAAAAAAATTGATATCAAAATTTTTCACAAATAAAAAAGTCTATAATGCTGATAATAATTTCCAAAACAAATCTAATTTTCCTCAGGACTCATCTTTGTTCCAAGAATACTAATAGTACTTCTGGCTAAATTCCTGCTATAAGCATGAAAATTTTAAACATGAATCAGGCTTAGTTTTGCCACCCAAATCAGGAGAAATTATTCGGTGCGAAGCCCGGACGGTAAAGAACCGTCCGGATATGAGTGTACATAGTGTTTGTACACTGTATAAAAGACAAACTGTGGATAAAATTATACTTAGTGTACGTACTATGTACACTCATATCCGGACTGTTCTTTCCCGTCCAGACTCCGCACGGAATAATTTCTCCCAAATCAGGCCTCAATATATTCCTCAAGAAATACATCTTGATAGAGTATTGAAACAGCTCTATTCATCATATCTATGAATCAGTCAGTATTCTGAATTTCTGATATATCAAATAAGCATACAAAATTTCATTCCATGTATCAGGAACACCTGGAAGACACCAATGGATACAATCTGCATAAACTATTGGCTCTGCTCTCTGCTCTCCTGTCAATAATTTCCCTCTTCTCTCTGTGAAAACTGAAGTGTGGCCATCCTTTCTGAATTCTGATAGCTGTGTGATATTCAGAATTGTTACATTTATCCTTTTAATTCTATGAACTGCATCTTTCACTGCTCCCATGATCTCCAGACTTGATCCTGCTCCCCAGAATGGCCCTTTTATAGGGTAGCTCTCATTATGGCAGTTTTCAGTTCTCCCACCTCCCCATTCCCAGCTCCTGCAAGTGCATAGTAAGACTTATTAGATTTCTAAATTTAAATTTAGGGCATTAAAAACCATTCATTATTTTATTAAATCTGATGAATAAACCAATAGAAAATGAAACTTTCTGTGTTTAAATCAATAAACCAAAGAGCTAAACTGGTATGATAAATCAAGGCTTGTTTCCTCCTTAGGTGTATTTAACTACACCCTAATTAGAAATTATAAGGTTTCTTAAGCTATCTTTTATGGAAAATTATTACGCGTGGCGTTCAGATTCGTTCGGAGGCGAATCCGGACGCGCCACGTCACATGAGGCTCGGTGCATCCGGGTGATGTGGCACGTTTGGATTTGCCTCCAGACAGTCCGGACACCGCACATAATAATCTCTCATCTTTTCTAGCAATTCAAAGCTTACCAAAGATGAGTAGGAGAAAGAGTCATGAAGAATGCCTTCTGGGTTTGAGGATCGAGTGTTGATTCAATCCAATCAGTCCAAGTTTTCAGTGCTATTCTGTAAGCTGTTGGCACATCATATTCTTTCATTTCCTGAGATCCAATTCTGAAAAATTTGACAAAGTTAAAGAAGAACTATAGCTTAGAGGCTTTGTATATAAACAAGAGAAGCTATTGATCAATGCAGCCTAGCTCATGACGGCAAATTATTAGGTGCGGATACTGGACGGAAAGAATCGTTCGGATTTCTCACTGTCTACTATAAAAGCACAATCAAATCGCAGTTACTGTAGCAGCTAGCTGCGCTTTGATTGCGCTTTTACTAGAGATAGAGAGAAAAATGTATGGTTTTCTCGATCTGGTGTCCACACCTAATAATTTCTCAGCTCTTGACTTAGTATTTGTTGACTTGGCATTGAGTGTCGGCATTGATTAGTGCGTGTGTATTATTATTAAGGTTTCATTTGAGACTACCTTTTTACTGTTTTCTAAAGTAGCTTCTTAATAAAAAATTTTCAATTCAAGAAATTTTTGTGATAGAAAGCTGTTTTAAAAAACAATAAAGAAGCTGTCCCCAAAGAAGCCTAAATTACTTACGTTGCATTGATGAGAGGCGCATACATCCACCAAACATAGCTCTCGAACACCAGCACATCGACACCTTCCCATTGCCTGCTGTGTTTGGAAATTGAATCCAGCCTCACCATCCTCTTCTGCACCCTGTGCTTTGTTGCATGATCACTGTTCGACTCGACAATGAATGGCGCCCAGTAGAATTCGATCGAGGCATTGTAGTCCTAGAGAGGGTCATGATAATAGTTTGGGATTTACTCGAGCTGAAGTTTGATTTGAAATCGTTGCAAGGATAAGTTGATTTCGAGCTGGCTTTGAGCTTCACTTGTAAATCAATATCCATCTCTTTTTTTAAATTATATATTCTATTTCTATTTTCTTATCATTCTAACACTCAAATGATCTCAAGTCTAGTCAATTTGAATCAAATCAATTTTGATATCTAAACTCTAAGACCCTATTTGAGATTACTTTTATTTTTTTTAACATATTTATTTAATATGAAATGTTGGCCATTAAAAGAGAAGCATAATACTAAGTGTTGCATAGATGAGGATGCTTAGATGGATGAGTGGCTTCACCCTTAGAGATAGGATGCGAAATGAGCATATACATGAAAAGGTTGGAGTTGCTCCAGTGGAAGATAAGATTAGAAAGAGACGCCTTAGATGGTTTGGTCACATTAAGTAGAGGCCTTCTGATGATCCGGTTACGAAAGTTGAGGTATTAGATTTGACTTATGTTAAGTAAGGTAGAGATAGACCTAAAAAGACTCGGTTAGAAAATATTAGAAATGATCTTTCTTTATTAGATTTGAATGAGAATTTGACTTTCTAATAGGATAGAATGGTGAAAAAGGATTCATGTAGCTGACCCCACGTAGTGGGACAAAGGTTTGATGTTGTATTTATTCAACATGAAATTTTACAAATTAATTAAAAAAAAAAAAAGCCGAACAGACCCTAAGCAAATCAAGACCAATAAGCTTGAAAGAAGAAGTGGTAATCTCCTAACCTTTGCCAAGAAAACTTTCCTGGGTGGATCTCTATAAACAAGCTTCTTCTTCTTATCCGGAACTGCAGATTGAAGGAGACAAACCATAGATTCCCACTGCGTTCTCTGTATAGAATCTCCCACAAACATAAGCCTTTTGTTCCTCAGACTGTGGAGAAGCATCAATGCATCAAAACGAGGCAAGTTGCAGCCATATGGCTTCCATCGCCATTTCTGATAAACTGAATCAGGCCTCCCATTCTTCCTGCAGGTCACCTGCCTTGTCAAGTAAGGGCAGCTTTGTTCAGTATACAGAGGCCGCGAGCTCGGTTCTTCGAGTAGCCATTTACCTTGGAAGAGATTGCAGCCATTGTTGAAAGAAATGGAGAAATTTTTGCTGTAATGTGTTTGATGTGGAGAAGTGGAGAGTTTGGTGACTAATTTTATGGTGCGGAGGAGGAAGATGCAGCATAAGAGCAGGGGAAGGAGAGTTAGTGTTGGTCTCATTTGGTGGGATTGGAGCAAGAGAAGAATTGAACCACCGTTTGTTGATTTAAATGGTACGGCTTTTTTTATGCTTTTAAAAGCAGCTTTTTAGTGCAAAAATTTTAATTTTTCACTAAAAAATCGCTTTTAGAAGCAGTAAGAAAGCCGGTCCCAAATATAGCCTTAGTTGGTGAATGGATGCTTTTATGTTGAGACTTGAAGAGAAAGGAAGGAAGGAAAGTCCACAGAGGTTGGAGGTGGATCTGTTTCAATGGCATTAGTTGGGAAAGTTATTGGTTCTATGTTTTTGGTTCAATAGGTGCCTTAGAAGGATGCTTTTGGTGTTTTGGCAAATTCTGCAATTGTTTTGTTGAAATTATGCCGTTTGCTTGTTGTATAAGTTAGTATTGATTGTTGTGTGAGCAAATGGAGAGTCAGCATTGAATGGTGTTCAGATGCCTTCAATGGCACCATGGATGTCTCATAAATAGCTGATGACATATCTAATGCTGTAGGAGTAATCTGACTTAATGAGTTGACACTAGGAGTGTCAATAATTGATTCGACCTAAAAATCTGATCATAAATTTTCGGGTTATGGTCTAAATTTTTGACTCATTTATAGTTTTGGATCGGGTTTGGGTTAACCCGAAAATCTGATAATAACTCGAATCGACCCGCGCCTTTTAGTGATTAGGGAAAAAAATATCGAGCTGAGAGCGGGCTTAGCGGCTATGCCGGTGCGGGAGCTCTCGTCAGCGTCCTCGCTTATGTTCAGTCGTATCCCTTCATGGTTTCCTTTTCTAACCCTTCATTGCTTTCCAGTTACAGCATATCTTCCTGCTTTTTCGTGCGATAATAAGCCTCAACTCTTAAGAAAGATTACACTTTTGGTATTTCGTTTATTCTTTTTATTACAAATTTTTTGTTATTTTAGAAGCCGAAGGTGTTGAGATTTTGTGTTGCTATTCTCGGCTAGGTTGTTTAAATTTTTATATAAGTTTGTAGTTCAAATGCTAAATGAGCTATTGAGTTGTAAGTAATTGTAAATTATAAATGAGCTCATATATGGTAAGTTAAAATTTACTGTAAATAAATAAGTAATTTAAATTTGTTGAAACAATTTCTTCATGTTTTTGTTATTAGACTATTTGAGCCTTGTGATGATATATTGTTGAAGGCTTGAAACGGTGAAACCTGCTATCATTTACTCATAATATGTGGTTTTATCGAGTTGGGTCAGGTTGACCCAAACCTGTTGTGGGTCAAGTTCGGGTCTAAGAAATCAACCCGTTTGCAAATACGGGTCAGGTCAAATAGGATCAAGTCAAATTCGAGTTGGACCTGAAATCGACCCGTGACTCGCTTTTGACAGCTCTAGTTGACACGGAAAGGGTCACCACTAGGGGCGTCAATTTCGGGTCACGGGTCGAGCCCGAAATTGATCCGGTACTATTCGGGTCAACACGATCCCGAACCATTTTTGTAAACGGGTCGATTTTCCTGACCCTAACTCGACCTGCTTCGGGTCCCGGTCAACCTGACCCGACCCGATGGACAAAAAAATGCTAGTTTTTTGGTCCAAAAATGGGTCAAACTCTGCTTTTCGGGTCAAAAACATGTCAAAAACGGGTTTTCAGGTAAAAAATGGGTTTTCAGGTAAAAAATGGGTCATTTTCGGATCAATTCGGGTTGACGGGTCAACCCAAACCTGACCCGATTTTTGAAACTGGTCGAATTATTGAACTCGAACCCAACCCATTTCGGGTTCGGGTCAACCCATAGCCGAAATTTTCGGGTCGGATTTTCGAGTCGGGTCCAATATTTTCACCCCTAGTTACCACTCACCTTTTTTTACTTTATAATGTACACTATATTAAGAAAATCATAGTTTTGAAAATCGATTACTAGTTTGGTCCTAATGAAAAACTTGTCTAGAATCAAATTGATTAAAATCAATTTGAATTGCCAATTAAAATAGCCAAATTGAACCAATCCTATTTTTTAAAAATTGGAATAATATATTTAATTTTTAAATTACGAAACATTTTATTGATGTATGAATGTTATTTATTTTTAATTATAAAATTATATTATTTCATAATTATTATAAAATTATTTTATTATTATAATACATTTATGTTGGAATAGCTTTAGTGGAAAAAAAGATTAAAGAGAGCCACCTTAAATTGTTTGGTCACATAAAATGACAACCTTCGAATAATCCAGTTAGGAAAATATAAAATATTAGATTTAATTTATACTAATAAAGATAAGAGGTATAACTAAAAAGGCTTATTAGAAAATATTAGAAGAATTTGTCCATTTTGTTAATGGAGAAAAATGATTATGTTATGTAATTATCATAAAGTTATCTTATTATTTAAATATCATTTACATTTTTTTATTATTTATTATATAATTCAGTTGAATTCTAATAGAATCATTGAACTTTAAATCTCTTTTTAATTTTTATCTCCGGTCCGATTTTTACAACATCGAAAAAACTCTCTTAGAAGTTAGAACCTAATAGCACAGTTCAAAACATTATTGACATAAGATGGAGAAAAAAAAAAACCTGCGCCCTAACAATAAAAAGGCCAGAGGTTGATAATTCTAATGAACTCGATCGATGCGTCTAACAAAACTTTTTGTCACTGCTGTTGATTCTTCTGCTCGTGAGCTTCAACTTTCCGAGCTTTCTCTTTGAGTTCTTGAAAAGCGCACATTGTTTCCACATCAAAGCCTCCGGCGAACTAGAAGCAGCAAACAACAATATCGTGAGTAACTTAGGTTTCCTTTGCGACGACTTTCTAGTACTAAAAAACTATTTAAGATTGATATTAAATAGAGAATAACATATAAGCCCAATTTTTAATTTAAAATATATTCTTCATTTTTTTTTTTAAATATTCTTGATTCTTATTCAGGGATTTCAGCCCACAAATAGTGGAGAAATTATTGAGTTCGGACACCGGACACAGCTTATCATTCGGAGACCAATCAGGTGCAACCACGTTATGCTGTATCAAGCAATACCAAACTCGGTACTGAGCAGTACGGAGTTCAATACTGAACAGTACCGAGCAATATCGAGCTCGGTACTGCTTGGTATTGATCAGTACTGAGTAGGGGGTGATGTGACGCATTTTCATTGGGCTCTAGACGGCGTCCAGTGTCCGAACCCAATAATTTCCCCAGATAGTGAGAATGCAAAATGACTAAAAAATGTTTTATACTTTGCCACTCGTTTTAATAGAAGCACAGCAAGAAAGAATGCTCAAACTGAAGTAATACCTGGTGCACTCGGAAGGCAAACCTAACACCCCGTAGCATGAGATCTTCCTCTTCAGGGCCCAGTATAGCTTCTATTTCGAAAGAAACTCTTTTCATGTACTTCATTGCCAATTTAACAGAAGCTAGCTTGATCTGCAAAATTTTACATAAATCAACGATTGGTTGATGAGGACTTATATCATAGGAGAGTCTTCAAAAGCGAATATTTAGGATGAGCCAATGCATGCAAGTTTGTTGGGCTAATCAACGAATCCTTTAGGTTCAAAGGTGAACCCCTCCAGCAACCATGACTATGAGCTAGCGAGAAGCAGTGCCGCCAATGAAATCACAACACTAACTCCTATAGATGAGTGCATTTTGAAGTTTTGATTCGACTATCCATGAAAGGCGGATGGCTTTTATTGATGACAAGAATGAATCCTTCTAGGGAGCGTGCCTCTTAGGTCGAAGGCCTATTTGGGGATGTCCTCTAAACAAACTTACTGAGAATGAATGCTCCCTCAATCTTATTCTCCATAGACTAACTCATGTACCGCGAGCTCCGTTGGGCTAAATGCTTGCTTTCTCACAAGTCAATATTGAAAACTAACCCTCAAGACGAGCATTACTTCGAGTGAGTGTTCTCTGTGTCCACGCTCTTTAAACAACCTATTTTGATCTACAAGCTATGGTGCACAGACACAGCCACAACAACACAAATAAGAGACATGCAATTATTAAAAATATAGAATACAAATACTAGTTGGAGATAACATTATAAATTTTTATACTTAAAAATAATGCTTTTCTCGACAACTAAGTTATTTTCATTTATGTTACCGTTTTTGTTTTGAGCTGCTGGTCTTATGATGCTTGTATGAAACAGCTCCTCAGTGGACCCATACATGTACTTGTTTTTGTTTGAAATATCTCAGCATTCCATTAAATAATATATACACTCCTGCGTTAAATGAATTAATAATCTTACGTATATTGAAGATTAATTCATGGCATAATAGTTAGAGCTTAAATCACCAAAAGATGAAGTTTCACCTTTCTCCTGTCAGCATTAGTAGGATGGCTGATCAGGCATCCATCTAGTTGGACAATGATGTGGCAGGCCCGGTCATAAACCTACCACATGCCTGATTACATCGCAACTCCTATACACACCGAATCCTCAACAACGATTTCTTCCTATGTAATGAACAAGTTCTTATTTCAGGGAAAACTCCTCAAAAATTTTTAACAGCCATTCATCACTAAATCAACCTTAAAATATTGCAAAAATCGGGGAAGACGCTAAAATGCAAGCAGACAAAAGTTCTAGATCCAGGCCATCAAACACACTACAATTCACGTGAGCGCGTGCTCACGAATACCGAAGAACTAATAACCCCACGGCCGCAGAGTATCGTTAAAACTTGTCATTTTGCGGCGACAAAATCCCACGTAAATAGAATCACGTTCCTCAATAAGAAACAGATGGAACACGCTAATGAAAATTGTTAAGTGTAAAACACAAATTAAAAAAAACAAAAGAAAGGAAAACAGCACTCCAACGACGACTAAACTTTTTCGAAGATGAAAGGTAGCGAAATTCTCACTGACCTGACTAACAATTCCGCAGTCGAGCATCCACTCCCAAGGGATCTGGAAATTCTTGTATCGCTCCATCGCAATCTCTCGAACACGTGAAAGATTATACACGGCAAGCTCTAATCTGAACAAAAAACATACAAGATTACCATAAAAAGTTCAGAAATTCGTAACAGTGTGGACTATAATAAGATGAAACCATAAGAAATAAAAAAATGACATTCGACATTACTTTTCCAGAAGGCTCTGCATCTTTTTGAGGGCGGAAGCACGGGGCTGTCTTGGATCATCGCAGAAAGAGGACGCCTCCGACTCCAACTTCCGAAGATCGCAATACTCAAAAGCAGCCTCCCGCATCGCATCAGACTTCGCCTCCGGCCAATCAAAATGCTTCAGCACTGCCCTCTCATCGACCTATCATAAGCCGAAAAAATCTCAGAACTTCTTAGCGCCGCTCCACCGTCTTCTTCTTCAAATTCCAAACCAGTGTATGAAGACTATAAAGTTAACAAAATATCAGAAATACCAGGAAGGAAAGCTCATGATCGAGCCATTTTACGAAGGCTACAAGGTCTTCAATGTCGGAGAACGCCGCGCTCTCCACCGCCTTTATCAAAAAACGTATAAAATCGCCCTGAGTCTCCACCTCCCTTTTGATCTGAAGCCGGAAAACAGAGTAAAAAAGGTATACTGGAAAATTCTTCTCTGGCACACCTCACCAAACAGCAATATGCACCATTTAGGAGTACAACACGTGTAACCATATAATTTCAAAGGGCTCTTATTTATTTACCAATGTAATATTTAAATTTTCTATTTTTTTATATATTATTTGTTGTCTAAATTATATAAATATAAATATATATATATATATAATTTAATTTAAATAATAAATTGATATTTTTGATATAATTTAATTTTTAATATTGTCCAAGTTTTTATAAAAAAAATTAAATATGAGATATAAATAAATTCAAAATAATTTTGTTATATCTATTTAAATATCAGGGATTTGTTATTTTTGTAAATTTTCCCTCTAAAATGGAATGAAGGAAATCACAAGGAAGACAAAATGGTCATTTCGAATAGATCAGAGTGCCGTTTTGATAGCAACACTGAGGGAATGGAGGTACAGTCCGGAGAGGGTGAAATTGTAATTTTAATGACAATGAAGAAAGGAGGGAAACTTGAATAGGAGGCGACGGTGACGGGACTTACAGCGTGAAGGTGAGCCGACCGGTTCTCAATCTCGCCGATCATTTTTCGGGTGTTCGCCACCGCCATAGCGTCGGAAACTCCGCCACTGGAATCCCGCCTCGAATCCCGCCGCATCAGCGAGTGGTAGAACTCGACTACTTCCGGCGCCCGGCGCACCGCTGCAGCGCCCATTCTCCGACCTTTCGCAGCCGAAGGCGGCGGCGGAGGCGGTGGAGGCGGAGGAGGAAGAGGCGGCTTTATAGCCTGAAATCTGGCCAGCATAGAACCGACGTTTCTATTTCCGGAAGCCATAGTTGGCGACAAGGAATTTGCGAGTGAAGCAGATGGCAACGGAGGAGGGTTCGGTACCCTAGGAGCTTTTCTAGGTTTCAAGATCTCTTCCATTTCGCAGTTATTATGTTGATACAGCCGTTCCGATTCTCCCTCTTCTCGCATCCGATCTTTGAACTCCAGTTTAGATGCTTCGTGATTAGAGACGACGACAATGGGATTCGTGGATTTTCGAACATTTTTCAGAAGGATCGACTTCGCAGAGGCGTCAATCAGCCCTTGAAACTGCTCTGATGACGAACACCCATTTTCACAGAATCGCTTCAACTCGCTTTGCTGCTCTGTTACCGTCCGCCGCAACTCCTCCACCTCCTTGCCCCTCCGCCGCGCCTCCTCCTCTATTTCCTGAATCCTGACACGCAACGTCTCCACCTCGATCCGCAGGGCGCGGGTCTCCGCTTCCAGCCCCTCCACGATCTTCCTGGTGCGATCCAGATCTTCGTCTTTGGCAGCGACCTCCTTCTCTAGAAACGGCACGATGGATACCGTCTCCTTGAGTATCTTCTGTTCCAGAAGCTCTGTTCTCAGGCGGGACTCCGTCTCTTGCAGGTCTTCGATAAGGCGAAAGAGGTCGGCGATGCTGGGTGAACGGAGCTGAACCTGCGCGGAAGATCGTGGGAAATAGACACCGACTGAGCGAGAAAAGACTGTCACCTTGCCGGCGGAGAGAGGCGAGTTCGGAAGCGACGAAGACCGCTGCGAAGGCGCTGTTTCAAGCTTTGGCGTTGCGGGGCTTTTCTGTAGACCCATCACCTTCTTCACCTTTCCGGCTACCATTAAAGCTTCTTCTCGTCTCTGTCTACTTCGCCCCTCTACTCTTTTATTTCTACAAGACTATAATGGGTTTGCCCTTTGTATTTATTTGTTTTTTTCTTTTTGTAGGGCGATGGGCGGGAAAAGGAGCAGAGGCGCTCAGGAAGATCGGCTCGCTCGTTCGTCAATGAATAAATCCAATATAAAATTTTCCAAAAATAAAAAAAGTCCAATTTAAATATAAATATGATATTTAAATTTGATTATTTAATGAATAGAATCCAAATGAAATTTTGTTGGTTTGTGTGGGGCTCATTTGTCGCTTGTAGCTAGAAATTAAGCTTGAAAATAATTAATAAATTTTATGAAGTATCAAATGATTGGATATAATGAATTTTAGTTCAAAATTAACATTAAATTTTAATTTTACAGATATTCTCAAAATCATTTAAATAAAATAATTTTTTATAATTAAAATTTTTATTAGTTCAATGTGTTTTTCTGTCTATGATAAAAAAAAGATATTAAATAAATGGGTGGAAGAAAAGTATTAATCATCTTGCATAATTTAAATGAAAAATGACCTAGTATATGGGGGCAAAATTGTAATTAGGATTTAGGATTACTTATATATGAAACTCTTAAAATTATTTCATTTACAAATTTAACGGCTAAAATTTAATATTTTACTAAACTATCATTGCATTAGCTTTCAGCAAAATCCTAAAACTCTCGATAACGAAGAAAAGATGAAACAATGATAAGATCTCGTTAAGCGGAGGATATCCAAAATCAATAACATTAGGGATTGATAACAGATATTAGGGGTGTGAGTCAAAGTCGGCTCAAATTTGACTCGATAAATATCGTGAATCGAGATTGATGAGCTAATGAGCCAAAATTGAGCATACTTTAACTCAACTCGTTAGTTTGTAAGCTAACTCATTTAAGAATTAATGATATAAAAACATTCATAAAATATATTAGAATTTAAAATTTTAAGTACAAAATTATTAAAAATGTTTAAAAATTAATCCTCACTTTTTTATTTTAAGTGGTTCTTTATTTTTACTATAATTTCTTATTTTTTATCATTTTACTATAATAATTATTTAAACCATAATTATTTTATCTTTTTCACATTAAATGACTTGTCTTGATCTCATAGATCAAAACTCAAGCTCGATTAATTAATTAAGCTCAAAGGTTAACTTGAGCTTAAGCTCGATTATCTCATTTACACTCCTACAATATCTCATTGAAAATAGAATCAACAAAACCAACAATGTAGAAAGGACTCAACTATAAAGAAAATGAGAGAGCTGTGATGAGCTCTCATTAGGAGAAGGAGATAAAAAAAAGCATCGATAAGTCTTTAGACATAGGAGAAATATTAGTTATAACACAATAAGTTAATAAAGTGAATTTGGAAATCATAGTTTACATTAATCAATTTCGACCCGAACCCGAACCCGACCCCGACCCGTTGACCCGAGTTGACACCCCTAATTCTTACTACGTTAAAATAACTTTTTAATATACTTTTTTTAAACTAAATGCTTTTATACTAAAAAGCCTCAGCTTTAAAGTTCAACCTTGTAAATATATTCAATAGAGATTAAAATAAAAAAAAAAAATCTTTATATCGCCATGACTAAAAATCTAAGCAAGTAAATATAAACTCCACAATAAATCAAAATTTGCACATTAAAAAAGTTAGGCTTATTTTTATTCAAGCAATAATATAAAGTGGGTTATTTCATGGCATAAGCACAAACCTGGTGGTCTTAACATCATTAGAAAGCATTCCGATTATTGCTTCGATACAATCCTCCTTAGAGCCACTCTCCAAGATAAAATGCATTAAACTGTAAAACATTTGGAATAAACCAAACAATGTGCAAAATTGCATAAATTAATTCTGTAGTGAGTAAAGTAAACCAAATGTTGGCTTTCATTAATTCTCATTGGCGAATTTGATCCCTTTCTCAATGGAGGACTTGAGCTCGGACTTGAGACTCTCCAAGCCTTGCTTCTCAAAATCAGAGAGAGGGCCCAATCCAAGCACTTCTTCAACGCCATTCTTTCCCAGCCTTACCTGCACAATAAGAAAATTTGGAATATCTTTTTAAGCATCTTTATAACCATACAAAAAGATATAAATTAAATGTCCATCTTTATTGCAATCTTATTCTAAATGAAAATTCTTTGCTCACTCCACAACTACTTCTAACACTAGTTAATCATCCATCAACAATAAAGATCTTAAATAATTTGAACATACCTTTCATATTTTTTCCCCCTTAAAAACCAACAAAACAATTCTCATGATAATAGATCATATGAATTTTGAAGACTAATAAAATCATATAAAATCCTTATTTATGTTTTTTATACCTTTTCATTATTTTTCTTAACACAAAAATGCTTCCATGGTGGATCTTCTTGGAATAAAAACTTGATTATTCAATGATGCAGATTTCAGTTCATACAATACAAAAATACAAGGCTGCTAATTATTCAGTGACTGCTAATTCTCTAGTTTGGTTCTCACTTGGTGTCCTAGTCCAGCGATTAAATCTCTATATCAACTTTGATATGGTTAATATGATTCATTATTGGTTTATATGTTTGTCAAGGGTGTCAATATTTAACATGACCTGAAAACTCGACCCGAACCTGACACGGAAAATTCAGGTTCGGGTTGACCCGAACCTAAACCGCACGGAAAATTCAGGTTCGGGTTGACCCGAACCCGAACCGGGGCGGGTTCGAGTTTTTGATCTGTTTCAAAATTTGGGTCGGGTGAAGGTTGACCCGGAAACTTGGGAATGACCCAGACTGACCCGTTGATCGTTGCCCGCGTGACCGCAGCTGCCCGAGGCCAATCACGCGTCATGTTCGAGTCCGCGTCGATTTGCCCGCCAAGCTACGCCGCTGATGCGCCTGCCCCCATGTCGTGTCCCCATTGTCGCGTCGCGTCGCATCCCCGCTGCAGCATCACGTCCTGAGATACGATGTTGTCGGCTGCTGCTGCCGACCGCCCGCCATTGGAGTTGACGTGTCCACGGGTCGGGTCGGGTTGACCAAAACTCGAAGCAGGTCGAGAATGAAAAACTGACCTATTTGCAAAAACAGGTCGGGTTCAAGTTGACCTGAATAGTGTCAGGTCAGTTCCGGATTCGACCTGAACTCGACCCATGACCCAAAATTGACACCACTAATGTTTGTTGCTTGGATCATTATGGATGTTTGGTTCTTGATAGCTCAAGATTTAATGGACCATGAATGATATCCAAATTAGACTTGTGTTGGTTGATTTTTATTAACTGAATTAGTAGACAGACACCATTTTAGTTATTAAGTTGTAACTTAGTGGGCCCAAGTTTAAAGTTTCTAATTTACTTGGGTAGAAATGGGTTATGATTTTTTCGTATTGATGTTGGTTACTTGTTTGAGGTTTGGTTCCTTCGAAATCAATACTAACTGGGTGGTTCAGATCATTGCTTCTAGGTTGTCTATGCACATTCAGCAAGCTTCTCTGACGCCATCCGTTGCATGCTTTGTGTGAACTATGTAGGACAATTTTGCCACGTGTCTCACACAGGTACTGTAAGCTTTATTGTTTTAGGCCTAATCAGGCTTTGCACCTAAACCAACCCTACTGTCAACAGTTTAGGATTTGAAGACTTAAAACCTAACTTCTCAACACACACCATACAAATCAAAACGATAAACTAGGTGGTCTTGAAAAACAAGGTAATTGCAAAGCCTACCACACGAGATCTTAGTACTCTACTTCTTCAATTCTCAACTAACAGAGAAAAAATGTAACTTGGATGAACTTCTTGGAGAGGTTTGACTTTGATTTGAACTTTGGAACTAATTATTTATAGCTCTGAAGGCCCTAGTATAAAAATGAACTTGTTTGAACTTTGGAACTAATTATTTATAGCTCTGAAGGCCCTAGTATAAAAATGAACTTGTTAAAGGGCTCTAACTGTTATATATAGGGCTTCTATGGTGAGAGCATCTCAAAATGTGACGATCTCCTAAATTACAATAACGCTGCTGAGCCATCAAGTATCTTATAATATCTAGATACAAATATAGAAAGATTGATCCCCTTGGTTGACGAGGATGCACTGATCAGTACGCTGGAAAGATTATGCCATATCTAATAAAAAAATAGAATTGTTAACTTCTGCTGTCAATAACTTGTCCCTCCCACTATATCCCATTTATGCCTTAACCAGAATAGATTATTAAGGAGATTTATAAAATAGAGAAGAGCCATATAGCACAAAACTCATGAAAGTTGCTAAATAATGTGCGGCTAACTAGAAAAACACAGCTGCAAAAGTAAAATTAATGGTGGTCGAAGGTGACAAAGCTTTATTATGAATCAGGCACTATGGGAAAGTAGTGGATGAGAAAGGCATGCTTAGGAAAAAAAATGTGCCAAAGTATTATAATAGGAATGTTGGGGTCATCAAGTAAAAAGGCTGAGCTTTTGCTTTATAAAAGTATTATTGAAAGTAGAGAATCTATGAGCATTAATTAAAGCTTAGAAACATCATATTACAAGTGGCATCAATGTCTCCTTCATGAGATGCTTTCACTGATTTTCACTGCTTCCACAGAGTGCACCATGGATAAATTTGGTTTTGTTTGAGAAAAAAATATTGAGATAATGACACTGATAATATGTTTCTTTCAATAGTGTTAGCAGGTCAAAAGGAATTCCTCTTTATACCCAATAGCTTATGCTTTTGTCAGGGTTCAACTTCAGGAACTAATGGAATTAAGATTTTTAAACAAGCACTCCCTATCATGCCAAGTCCTTTGGTGGAAACATAATGACAATCTCCACATCATACTCATACTTATCAAGGTGCATAGACCTTGATACAACGTGTGGTATTTTAAACATAGTGAAAAAAATTTTAAAAATAATGAAAAAAAATATACCTAAATGCGTCATTCTTTCATGTACCTAATAGTAACAGAGGAAACTAATACTAAAACATATACACTAGAATTTTTTGATTAAAAAATAGTAAACAGTAAATAAATATTTATTGAACAAAAATATTCAAAAGAAAAAAAAAACTACAGAACAAACAAATTATTGTCGAAATTTGCAGAACTGTGGATAGTATGTAGAGAGCAATGATCCAAAATTTAATAAAGAAATCATGAAGGAAAACTAAACGACTAAAAATTAAAAGCTCAAGCAATTTGAAATACCTAGAAGTCTACCTTTTTCCAAGTCCTTTGCCGTTAATGGTTTGATCATTCAACTTAGTGTGTTCGAAACTTTTTCAAGCCTACTTCGTCAAAAAAGGTTTGAGCATTCAGCATCAACAGGATTCTTAATGAGAGACAAGACAAACAAAGATGGCTTGACGCTTTGCGTGCAACGTTCGAAAATGGAGACAAGAAAACGAAGAAGATTGAGAAAGAGTTGGAGACACTAAGCATGTAGTGTTCTCGAGTCAAAGTTGAAAGAATCAAAGAGAGGATACTGTGAGAGAAGAAGATGGGAGAGCTACAGCTTTTGGGATGTTCGAAGCCCTAATACTCTAAAAAATTTTAATTAGGGAAAAATAAAAACTTGAAAATATATAATAAGTAATACAAATATTTATTTAGAAGTTAGAACCCTAAATTATAAAAAATCAAAATAGCATGTGATCCAAGGGCTTTGCACTATAAGCTATTGCTTGTGCATGGTGCAAATCCGATGCACCATTTTCATGCCCCACACTATGCCAAGTAAATGGTGCAGGAAGTGAATTGCGCCACGCACCATGGACCATGGTGCGAGCTATTTTGCATTATTGACACATTTGAATATTTGATCATATGTACATTGATTGTCATTTCATTAAGCAAATTCTATATTTCATTTAAAACATAATCATTCAATGTGTCATTACTAACATAGATTAGATGTTATTTGGCATTATAGTATTATACATATTTTAACCACTTAGAAAGGTTTTCAACCTACAATATCCATGAAGGCAAATTGTGTTTGCCACTTTGAGATCATTATATTTTAACCACTTAGAAAGGTTTTCAACCAACTCTCATATGTGTCACACAAAATCACAATCTTTATCTCTACCATCCCCTCCATGTAGCTCCATCTCTATCTCTTCAACAACCTTATTGAGTAAGCTTGGATCTTATTCAAGGTGCATGCATTGCAAAGACAAATTCATGGCCTATTTCTCTAGCATACCTACATATCTAGCTATGATCTTTGTTTATACCTTCTACGAGCAAGTCCTTTCATCAACGAAGATTATCATTGTCACCTATCGCGCCTTAATGATCGCTCTGGCTTTATCTTCTCAAGGTTCAAACTTTGAAGACTACGGCTACAACTATTAAACTCATGAATCACCTTCGACCAATGTTTTCTTTATCAACTAACCTACCAACATATTTTGTCATCAAAGGTTGAAATACTTGTCATCCTTTATTTCTTGTAGATATGCGCACATCAGCAACATCCTATGTTATTTATTTGTATTAAGTCGATGCTCTCTATCAATACTCTTCATCAATGCTCTCCATTAACTATCTCTAATAATACTCTCTATTAGTACTCTAATGATACCTTTGTTGAAGGATCTCATATGTGCGTTATTTATCATGAATCATGGTGCCAACTCTTTGGGTCAAATTCATGCAACTCTACTTGATAAATTGATTGTGTTCTTCTTGCGACCTCACAATCTCCGAATAACAATCACTTCAACTAATTCAGCTCTTGCCACTATTACTTCTAAACACAAGTTAACATCTTCTATGCCAAAAGAGGTGTTACTCTATCTAAATTAGCACATGTGCCAACTTATTACAGATATTTGTATTATTCGTTATTACTTATTAGAATATTTTTCTCATTATTGAGGATATCTCTTTTATTGGATTTTTCGTTATTTTTCTCTTCTATCACCTATATAAAGGCACATATATTGATGTAATTATGCCAAATTTTTACATGTGCTAACTTATTTATAAAATATAATAGATATTAGCATTATTCATTATTATAATAATTCTCCATTATTGGTGATATCTCCTTTATTGTATTTTTCTTTATTATTCTCTTCCATTACCTATATACAAGCTCATATATGCTTGTATTAAAAGACAATTCAATAAAGATGTGATACATTATAAATTTATAATTCTCTATTTCTTCTAACAAATGAAAACATCAACAAGTTCTGTCCCAAAATCATATTAGGATAAAGGAAAAATAAAGGCATGAGCAAAAGAGCTTGCCTCAATAAAAATAGATTTCAAACATGTATTATAAATAAAACCTTTGGAGGCAATCTTTTGCAACTTAAAGCATTAATTTATACAACAAATGGAGAGAAATGCACCCAATAATATTGAAATTTATAGACATTAGTAAATACTAAATAATAATGCATAAGAACTACCATTCAAAAATAGTATTTTACATAATAAACAGTTAAATAAATAGGATTTTCATGATGTTAAATAAACAAGAAAATTATTAAATTTGATTAGAAGCACAGCATATATAACATGAGTACCATATTCTATATAGCATAATACCATACAAATCAAGCAATGTGAAAAAAGAAGATGGCAAGGTCACATAACTTACAAAGCAAACAATGGAAAGGAAGAAATACTTACGGAAGCTAGAATGCCATTGTGATCAAGAAAAAAAAAAAAAAAAGTTGCTCCCGGAATTGTGCATGTAAAAAAAGATGTAAGATATTGGAGTTAAATCCAATTAAAAAAAATTAAAAAGTCTACAGTTTTTAGTGAGTTGCTTGAGATTGAAAAGGAGCTTGCTTGAGGAGCTATTTAATTAGTCGATCTGGAGAGAGAGTAGAGTGCTGAGGTGCTCCAACCCCCAACGCCACGATACTATGAGTTAGGTTGAGCAGTTTTTCTTCCCTCTTTTTCTTATTTCACTTGAAGAGCTGCATCCTTTGGATGATTTAAAGTGTATCTCTAATCTATTTTGAGTAGATCATTGAATGTGAAGTAAAGAGATACGAAGAGAGAGTGTAAGAAGAGAGATTTTTACAATCTCCCAATTTTAAAAGTGGATTTTTCAGTGTAGTGTGGCTCCATGATTTTTTTCTAGTTTCAGGTTTTTCGATGTTAAACCCTGGTGATCTTTCTTCTTCACAGCTCTTTTATTTTTCTTATTTGCTTCACTATGTAATTATACTTCCCAACACTAAGAATCTTATGTAGCACACAAACATGTTTAGTAGTTTTTTTTTTTAATTCTTCTTGATATGATATAAATTCAAGTGCAGCTTCTCAGAATCTCTTAGAGCCCTTCGATTTCAAAGTATTGTTAGGATGAAACACCGACCAAGCTAAATTGAGCCCAATACACTAGTTGGTGGATACACATTAACACAAAAGCTTGAGTTTATGGATGAGGGTCACACAAATAATATTTTTACACTAACATATTTTTTAACAATATGATGTAAGACTAATCTCAATACTCTCACATGCCATAACAAACAACCCCACCAAATAAGAACTCTCAACATTGGCCTTCACTCTATAGTCTACCCATACAAAAGCTTTACAAAATCATCAAATGACATGACCAAAAAACCACTCAACCATGTGGAGAGTGTTTGGTAATTATCTACTTTAGAACCTTACAAGATCAATGTAGGATCAGAACCTATAAAAGCTACAAACATCATGAACATCTAGTCAAGCTATTAGCTATAATATCAATTGCTAAGAAAGTGGAATTGTGATGCTTGAAATGACCAATACACTGGTAGGTGGTGCAAAAGCTTCAGCTTATAGGTAAAGGTCAACTGCATGGTATTTCTACATTAACATATTTTTTAACTAGTAGTGTTGGACTAAATACTCTCATGTGACTTAACACAAAATGCTCAATAAAACTTTGATATTGTAAATATTCCCCTAAACTGTCTTATAAAAACAATAACTTAAAAAGCTTTTTTTCTATTAAAACCTTAAGTCAACTGAACTTGGAATAAGGATTTAGTATCTAACACCATTCCAAACCACAATTAAAAAAAAAATTGCTCCCATTTCATGTGGTCATGACGAAACATCAGTGAAGTTTATCAATAACAGAACTAAAGCATTCATCCAAAGGTAATGAAAGGAAATAAAGGAATCAAAGATGAAAAGGAAAGTTATTGAAACCAATTTGCACATAATGATTATGGAAACATAAGCAAACCTTGACTTCAAGAAGAGAAATGTTGAGAACAGGAATTTGATTGATTAGGGTTGATTAAATGTACAAATGGGTGTTAAAAATACAGAAATATATATATATATATTCATCGCAAGCAAAAAAAACTCATCTAATATATATTCATCGCAAGCAAAAAAACTGATCCTTCGTTACTGGAAAGCTTATTCTCAGTTAAATTTCGTATAGAAACTAAAGAAGCTTCCACTTAGATGCAAATGTATTGTTTATATGCTAATAGATAGGAAACCTATAAAGTATCAACATTTTCCTACAATGAGTTCAAGGTTACATAATTTAGTCAAACTTCCATCATGCTATTGCAATTTGCAACTTTTAAGAAAGATGCTAATGGCCTAACAACAGGAGGTTTAGTTGTTGAGTATATACTACGTATACAACAAAAGCAACATAAAAAACAAATAATAATGCAAATCAAGCATGAGTTGAAAAGGTGATACTGAACAAACAAAAATTTTGGACAAAAAAAGGAAAGTGAAAATACATGCGTATAAAAATGTAAAATAAATCACCTTTGACGCAAAGAAAGGTAGCTCCGTAATATTTGATTGGACAAAAGAACATTCTATAATATCTGGAACCCCATTCAGGCCCTTTAGGCACGCTTCAGCAAAAATGGCACCTGCATAACTGCACCGATTCCTCATTCAGCCACAGAAAGTAAGCCTGCTTTTAATCAAAACAGTACAGAGGAAAACACAAAAACTTGACACAATAAACAAGGAAGCACATAAAAAAAGCGAAAAACACAAATTCAAAGGAAAAGGTCATAAGAAATCAAATATTAAGTATAAAGATTAATTCATTCCATATAAGGTCTATCCAAGTTTATCTATAATCTGCAATAAATGTACAAAACTTATCTTTGTCAAAATCAACCATTAATAAGTATTAATAAAATCCCTGGGTGAACCAACAAATTCAATAAATCAATGAACTTATTCTTAATCACAATTTGGACTTGTTTTTAAGGAATCAAACACGGACTTCCATTTTGTAGGTAAGGGCCTGGGGCAAGGTTTTTAGATTTAAGCCAAAAGAAAATGAAACAAAAGAGCCTACAAGGGTTTACAAAAAAGATACCTTCATAACACAAACACATAAGGAATTAAAAAGCTAAACATATAATAAACAAAAAAAATAAAGCTATTTTATTTCTCAAGAGTTAAGGATAGCAAAAATATGAAACTAAGTGGTAGCAACTTTGAAGGAAGGACTGAATGAATCAGCTAGGACATATGACAACATGATAATTGGAATGTAGTTCCAGACTTACGCCATAGACAGGGTTGCAGAGCCTTTCCCTGCCTTTGCTTCCACCACCTCAGTTCCTCCATCCTGGGTTCTTTTTGTAAGAGCCTTAATATCTTCGTGTGACAAGGAATTGCTTGCCGGAGTTGCCTTTCAATAAAAAAACGCAGCACGAAATCAAATCAAACATACACCTTGAAATGAATCGCACACTCGGAAAAAAGAGAACATAAATCTAAGCCAGCAAAAAAGCAATTAATAATAGAAAGAAAACTAAGAGAATCACCTGTGAAAAGAGAGGCAGGATGGTAATACCCGCGTGCCCACCAACTACAGGCACATTAACCTCTGCATAAAATTTGACATTAAATACCAAATGGCGTTACCAAAATCCTTCAAATGACTCTAAAAGCACAGCCAAAGAGCTTATGGTGCAAATCAGTAGCCTGAAATGTTTACCCTCAACTGGAACCTTAGCCTTGGCAGCATAGAAGGTCTTTGCCCGGAGAACATCAAGAGTGGTAACACCAAAAAGCTTCTTCTCATCATAGGTACCTGCCTTCTTAAACACCTCCGCAGCGATGGGCACCGTTGAGTTCACCGGGTTGCTAATCATATTAACAAGTGCCTGCACAAATTAATACACATGCAGGATGAGATCAAGAAAATCGAAAAGCAAAAAAGTGTTAATAGAACGATTGCATACATTTGGGCAGTACTTAGCGATGGCGGTGGCAAGAGATTTCACGATCCCCGCGTTAATGTTGAAGAGATCATCACGAGTCATACCCGGCTTCCTTGGGACTCCAGCGGGTATTATAACGACGTCTGATCCCTCCAAGGCTTTCCCGAGCTGATCCTCTCCCGCGTATCCCGCCACCTACGAAAATCCATGGATCTAAAGCTGTGATTCGCATACTCAAAAGAATTAAACAAGAGAGAAATTCGTACCTCGGCCCGAGTGTTGATGTGGCTGACATCAGCGGCGACACCAGGAGTACCGGCGATATCGTAGAGGGAGAGACTGGAAACGAGGGGATTCAGCTTCAAGAGAAGAGAGAGGGGCTGGCCGATGCCGCCGGCTGCGCCAAGAATGGCGACCTTTCGATCGGGTAAAGAGCCCGAGGAGAAAGGTCTGAGCAGAAAATGGGAAGAGGAAGAACCTCTTCTAAGCGCGGTTTCCACGGATCGGAGGAGAGCGGTTCTCATGACGGTCGAAAAAAGAGAAGATGGAAGAAGACGAGTTGACAGGCACCGAAAAGAGAATTAAGACGAGAGGGAGCGGAACAAATATGTTGAAGAGAACCGCGGCGTTTTAGGGTTCTAGAGCGCCACTGTTGAGCTGGTCGGGCCATTTGGCCCGAAGTGTTTTATAGCCGAGTATGTAGCGGACTTCATGACGTCATGCGCATGAGTCCTGTCCGTCAAACCAGAGAAATTAGAAGAATAATGAATAGATTTGTGATGACATTGAGTTTAATTTCAAAATATTAATAAGCATTAAGTATGTAATTACAAAATTAAAATAAATTACATATATGATTTTTTAATAAGAAAATTATGAAAATGATAAAATCATGGAGATTGCCTGGATCATATAACTTTGGCTTATTATATCTTTTAGTTACAAAATATTTCTCTTTCTCGAACTTAGTTGGCACATTACTATAAAGTAGATAGAAGTTAATTATCATAGATAATTTGTTACATCAACTCAGAGTTAAAATCCAAGTAGTCTTCTACTAGTTGTGGGGCCCAAGGTTGTAAACATTGTACCGAACATAATACCGAAAGAAGGAGAGGTTCAGAGTTCATTGGTTTGATCAAGGTCGAACTAGGGTTGAATCGGATGACAGAATAGATATGAAAAGTTATTTAAATAAAATTTAAATGATAGAATAATCATGTAATGACATGATTTTTTTATTAGAAAATAAATTAAATTCACACGTTAATAATATCTTATGTAATTTTAAATTTAAACACCTACAATCTTTAAAACTAATTCATATTAGCAAAAATTTAACTTACATATAAAATTTTAAATTTAATATAAATTACTAATAATTTAGGTTATATGTTTAGATGTAATTTATACATATAAATTATATATTAAATTCATATTATAATTTACATATATAAATTATTAATATTAGATCATTTATTAATAATAAATAAATAAATTTTATAGTACATAAATAATAAATGAAATATATAATTTGGTTATCATTATTAATTAAAAATTGTTATTTATTTCATAAAAAGTTTATTTAAAAAATCTATTCTATTTCAAAAAATATATACCATATGTTGTAAACTTAAAAAATAAGAACTTCAACTTATGTAGTATCACATTACTTAGGAAACTTTCTATTAGTAGTTCTTTTATTTTATATTATCTTTTGAGATAAGATGGGGTAAGAACTCACATGGAGTGATAGAGACATTTGAAATGATTGGTTTGAATTTTTAGTTAAAAATTAAGCTTTTAAATTTAAATTAATTTATCAAGTTATAAATATTACTTAATATTTTTATTTTTAATGTATTAAATTAATCTATTTAATCATTTAAATATTTTAAAAATTAAACCGATTGATTCGAGGAAACTAGGACCAGTTCTCTAGTTCGTCGGTTCAACCGGTAGTTTTGGTCAGTTCATCCCAGTTTGATACAAAATCAATTTTCAGGCTGAATCGGACTGACCTTAGACTGGGTTTTGGTTGAACATGTCGAACCGATCGGTCTAATTCGATCTTTAAAACCTTGGTGAAGCCAAAGTCTATAAGTCAGTACGAGTCATGCATGTATCATCACTATGTGGTTTATTATTCCAACAAACTAAAACATGATGCTCAACAGCTAGATCAATTGGTGCCTCCTCAATGATGATATAATTAATCTCCAAAAATAAAAGATTTTGTAAGTGGGGAACTATGTCTCATGCTAAAGAGTTAGATCGAATAAGTAGAGATTAGCTAACTCCTTCATATAATTAAATATCTTCAATATTAATAACATAATATATTAGCATATCATTAAGCAAATCATGGTGATAAGAATTTCATCCTTTTTGGTAAGAATTTTGAATGAGTTACAAAACCTTACATGTAATTCATAAACTTAGATGTTTGATAACACTCGGGGTGGATGCAAATTAAAATATAATTATAATTCTAAAACAAAATGTGCTTATATAATCTAAATAGAACTTTTTCTATCCCTTTCTAATTTCCATAGAATCACATATTTCAACTAATTAAGCACATATTTCAATGAATAACAATAAATGATGAATAAAGAAATACGTTTCAAAATTTGTCAAAATGTCATAACGGTAGACAATAGAAAATACTACTAAGAAAAAAATTATATTTTTAAAAAATAATCAAATTATTAGAGATTGTGCAAAAAACTACTTTAAGACTCTAATTATACTAAAATATTATTTTTCAAATTCTGAATTATTTTCCATTTGGTATAAAATTTTTAAAAATATATTTAGAATGTTTAAAATCTCTATCTCTATAACATATAAAAAGTTATGCGGTGAAAATTTTACTAGTGCAAAATTATCTAATTTTTTTATAATAAAAACATAAATTTAATCAGAAAAAAAGTTAATATTCTTTATAAAATTTTAGTTAAGCATAGTGTGGCCTACTTAGTAAAAATGACTCTACAACATCTAAATTCTAGTTTTTTCTTTTCTCACTCCTCGATCTATTTTTCTTTTTCTTTTTTTCTTCCCTTCTTTGTTAACAAAATGAGGATGAATGTCAATTTAGAAACTTTTTTTCATATGTTAATTTTTTTATAACAAAAAAGTCTAAGGATATATTGGTCATTTTGCCAATTATTTAACTTTAGCATAAAATTATTTTATATCTTCAAATATGGGGATAAAACTATTATTAAAAAATTCATAAATTTGCTAAGCATGTTTAAAATGAACAGGTGAAATTGATTTGAAAAATGAACACTTAACAGTCTAAAAAAATTTACTTTTATAAATATGTGTTAATTTCTTAAGGAATTACAATAATGCTTAAAAAATAGAAAAAAGTTACTGTACTTAGAGAATAAAAATAATTATGTTATGACGAAGATGGTTTGTTATATGGGCTTATAACGACTCATGAAATATTTTTTTTTTTATCATTGTAGGTCAAAATATATCTTTTGAAGTCTAAGAGTTATTATAAGGACATTACCCCAAACTTGATCTCCATAAATATCAATTTTGATGAGGATGAGACACCTACTTATTATGGGCAAAGATAAATAATTGACCCAACTAACATAGAAAGGTTAAGGGTGTGGTTCAATCTTGAGATTGGCTCCAGTAATTGTATGAGTTGAGATGATATTCATTGCACTTCCTCTATATATAACTAACCTCCACTTTTTCTCATTACATACAATATACATACTAAAAATATTTTTCTTTTGCAATCCTCTATTCATTTTTTATTATAGTTACACATCGCATCACATTAATTTAGCGGTCACCTATTAACTCTAACTCCTCAACAGAAAGAGGTGTATCATCATAAATTATTTTAGATCATCATCTATAAGAGTCTCAATTTCTTCTAACAAAAGAATTTGGGCTTTATATTGTTTTTGCATATGACCCCTTTTGTAACATTTAAAGTAAATAATTTCATTATTTTTAGAACTCCCATCATTAGTAAAAGCTTTAGACAAATTGGTCGTGCCAATAAGTGGCATGGTTCTAATAGTGGACTTATGGGATGAAATTGAGTTTCTTTTGATTTTCTACTAATAAAGTATAATGAAATGCTTCCTCTAAGATCTGGGGATCGAATAATTCTACCTCATTCCTAAACTTTATCCTAAGTCCAAGGACAAATTTATTAGCTAGTTACTAGTCATTATCAACATAGTTAGTCCTAGAAATTAGGTCTTCAAATGTATTCAGATATTCAGTTACAACGATACTACCTTTCCTTAGAGTTAATAATTTCCCATGTAATTTCTTATCATGATGCCTTAGACAATATTTGATTTTTAATATCTCATTCATTTTATTCAAAATAAGAGTGGTCCTTCATAATCTATGATTTTAACTAAAGTATTAGTCTAATAGATCTTGGCATGTCCAATCAAAATGAACTCTTTGATAATCATCTATCTTATAAGAAATCATCCATTTGGACTAACCAGTCTAGAAACCTATTGGGGTTATGATTGTCATCATAGTTGAAAGCTTTAACATTAACAATCATAGGGATTATTAAAATCATCAACACTCCTATGAAGATGGTCTATTCTACCTCTATTCCTAAGGTTGGATTATCTTTTATTAGGTTGGTTATCTCCTTGATTTATGTAAGAATCATCATCATTTAAAAGTATACTATGATTTTTGGAAGGGCATGGGACGTGATTCTTATTATTTTGTAAATGATTTAGAATAGTTTGCATTTGATACTGTACCAGTTTGATACAAAATCAATTTTCAGGCTGAAAATTGAACTGGCCTTCAGACTGATTCCTGGTTGAACATGTTGGACAGGTCGGTCCGGTCCGATCTTTAAAACCTTGGTGAGGCCAAAGTCTCTAAGTTAGTCTTAGTAAAGCATGTATCATCACTATGTGGTTTATTCTTCCAATAAACTAAGAAATGATGCTCAACAGCTAAATCAATTAATGCTTACTTAGTGATGATATAATTAATCTCCAAAAATAAAGAATTTTGCAAGTGGGGAACTACGTTTCATGCTAAAGAGTTAGATCGAACAAGTGGAGATTTACTAACTCCTTCGTATAATTAAATATCTTCAATATTAATAGCAGGATATATTGGAATATCATCAAGCAAATCAAGGTGATAAGCTTTGATCCATTTTTTGTAGGAACTTTGAATAGGTTACAAGACCTTGCATGTAATTTCTTAAACTTAGATGTTTGATAACACTCGGGGCGGATGCGAATTAAAATATAATCATAACTCTAAAACAAAATGTGCATATACCATCTAAATAGAACTTTTTCTAACCCTTTATGATTTCCACATAATCACCTATTTCAACTAATTAAGCACATATTTCAATGAATAACAGCAAATGATGAATAAAGAAACTCATTTTAGAATTTGTCAAAATGTCATAATTGTAGGCAATAGAAAATCCTACTAAACAAAAAATTATATTTTTTATTATAGTTACACATTGCATCACATTAATTTAGCGGTCACCTATTAACTCTAACTCCTCATCAGAAAGAAGCGTATGATCATAAATTATTTTAGATCATCATCTACATGAGTCTCAATTTCTTCTAACAAAAGAATTTGGGCTTTATATTGTTTTT